ATTGTGTAACAGAGCCTGATGAAACATAAACCTAAAAAACAGGGCGTGTGTTGGTCTCTCCTCTCTCGAGCATCAATGAAATCTATGCTGGACAATAAGCAGCCATGCTTGGTGAATTATTACTGCACCTAAAAGCGTCAGACCGTATATTTTAAAATGGCGGCTCCCCCCCCCGACAATGCCTCGTTTCTAGAATTTTTGAAGTGCCTCCAGCAATCCCGCTGAGGTCTCAGGAGGCAGCCTCCAGAATGGACAGGTGCTTTCTTTAGCTCACGGGAAAATTCCACCGCAAGTCTTGTTCACAAATGGTCGAGAGTTAAAGGTGAGCAGTGAGGTGGCCCAATTTGCTGGCGCTATTGAGCTGTTCAGGTCACTGAAACAAAACAATCACCTCAGGGCAGTTGTGGCTGGTGCTCTATGGGGCTGGTAGGGAGGAAGCAGGGCTGGCCCACCCACGAGGCAAGGTGAGGCAATTGCCTCAGGTGGCAAGATCCCTTGCTGCTGCTGTGGTGCATTCCTCGGAGGTCAGATCTGCCTCCTCAGCAGCCACCCAAATCCCACTTCTACAGCAGCCTCTTAGAGACTAGGAGGTGCTGCTGGTCTCCTCTCACCCTTGTTCCCAGTGTAGATAATTATTTCTCCCTTGTTCCCGATGTAGATCTTCACTCGCCCCTGCTTCCCTGTGAAGGAGGAGCACCCATTTGTGGTTCTCCTCATGGGCCAAAATGTTTTGGGCCACCACCAACAGTAGGTGGTGTCAAAGTCAGGAAGAGCCAACTGATTCTAGTTTTGTCCTCCACCTCCAGGACAACTGTTATGTACTGAGTTGAATAGGATCCAAAATGCAGCAGATCCTAGAACAATAGGATTCAGAATGCAGCAGTCTGATTGGTCTGCAGGAGCCACCCAATCCGGCTCCAGATGGAAGTGAATCCACAACCTGATTGGCCTACAGGAGAATTCCGGAATTAGCCAATCACGTGCAGCCCATTGTGTAAATAATGTATATAAAGCAGATACTTTGAGGGGACTTCCATTCCCTCCTCACCACTATGAGCTGAATAAAGAGCATGAAATCCACTCTCGACTCTGAGTATATTTCAACAACATTGGAGGAGGGGGAATTAGGAAGGTTGTGGGTGGCGGGTATCTGGCTGGCTGAGACTAGACTGAGGATGGTGAAGCAATGACCCACTCATTTTAATGGACCAGTCTCTCAGCTACTTCTCCCTCATCCCTCCACCCTTACCTCAGGTTCCTCTCAATCCACTGTCTCTTTGCAGCTGCCTAGCTGCTGGGTTCTCTTGTCTCCCAGCCTCGCAAAGTCCTGATACCTCTTTCTATTCCTGTCCTGTCTCTCAAAACTTCTCCCTAGGACCTCTGTCGGGTTTTAATCGCAGCCAGAATGATAGCTTTCCCTGCAGAGACTCTTGATAGCTCTATTTCCCAAGTTTATCCTATCATACCAGCTTATCAACATCAAACGCTTCGTCATATCAAGCACGATACATACAGATTGGATGGGAGCGGACTTATTCTAACAAACAAAACTTGAGATGTGCTTTAGCTTGTTACAGGCTTCTAGGAAGCAAAGTAGAGGTTTTTGATATTGATTCGCTGATTTGTTTGTTTGTGAAATGGATATCCCAGCTTTCTACCAAAAGATACCCACAGCAGCTAAAAATGGTAAAAACTGGGCACAGAATAAAATAATAATAATAAAGTCTAAAAAGCAGCTAACACATTTTTAAAATCAATAAAATAATAATAAACATTCCTATTATGATCACTGTTAACAAACATTTTTTAGGTTATAGCTATTTATATTTATGATTATCTCTCCAAATTAACAGCACAATCCTATACATGTCTACAGGGAAGTAAGCTCCTGGGGAAGTCTATTGAGAGGACGCTGTGGTTTGCAAGGAGTCGGTAGTGCTAATAGTTCAAACCCTTAGGCTGCATCACACTTTGAGTGGCTAGAATATCACTTGCACATTTTCCTTCTCGCTAAGCCAATTGGCAAGAGCTTCCTTGTCTTTATACTTCTTTTATTTTTTATTTAAACAAGCCCACCGGAGGATGTGTAGACCTAATGTTTCTCTGCACAGGCTCATTGTATCGTCTTGGGTACTCTGGAACCCTTTCAATCCAAGGGGTAGCCAGCTTAGTCAGTTTACAACTGAAACGAAGCAATAGACAAGTCGCACTTTAAACATGGGCAAATGCCTTATTGAACAAGCATGAACAAGCAAGAACGATGCATCTGATGAAGTGGACTTTAGCCAAAAAAGGGGGGGGGGGAGCTTAAGCATAATAAATTTGTTTGTCCTTAAGGTGCTGGTAGTGTTCCTTTTGTTGTTGTGCTCACATTGCATTGTGGTCCATTTTACAGGGTTGTTGAGAGGGTGAAAAGACCATAAAACACTTTGGCAAATTCAAAATACTATTACAAAAAGCAGGGTGCTGCAGAGGAAGGTTCAGATGACAACTCAGCGAGCAGCACCTATGGGAGCACGGATTGCACTCAGCCTGCACATCCCATCACAACCTCTTTGGCCACGCCTCCATGATCTCTTTGGTTGCCAAGCAACCCCATCAGGTTGAATGTCCATCAGCCAGCAGTGTGCAAGTTCAGTGGGACTTACTTCTGGGTAGATGTACACAAGACTGAAGCCTAAGATTATCAGCTAGGGTGCAATCTTAGGACTGTAGTGCTGCACACTCTTTCAGGAGAGTATAGGTGCAACCCTACACAGATCTACTCAGAAGTAAGTCCCACTGCCTTGAGTGGTGCTCACTCGCAGGGAATGCAGTCTTGGGGTCACACTAAACTCATCGCAACTTACTTCTGAGAAAACATGCTTAGGATCCAGTTGCAATCTGAACGACTGGGAGAAAAGTCCAATGAGCTCACTGGGATGTAACATTTAAGTAAACCTGTTTAAGATCAGGCTGAATAAAGGTGTAACATAATGACACAGTGGGTTAATTTTTTTAAAAGGAGGAAGACAATTACTGCGCTATTGAAAGGCAGAATAGAACAGTACACAGCGTAGCCCACATTATTCCAGCTGAAGGCGAAAGGAGGCAAATGAAAATGCTTCGAAATGTTTATTTGCCTCTCTAGCTCTAATTTTTAATGAGTAATGCCCTCTCTTTGTAATTTGATAGTTCTGGCAGACAGCACTATGGCAACCAGGCGGGGGGGGGGAATGGGTGGAGGAGAGAGGTTGCTTAGCAACGCAGAAGCTTTAGCCAGGCAAATGCTGGCTTAAAGCGCAGCCTCCGCCTTCTCTTCCCCTGCCCCCCCCCCATGTTTTAATCTGTCACTTTCCAACATCTGAAAACATTGATGTGTTTTATTTTTTAAAATGACTTTAAAAAAAGATCACTGGTCTTTTGGAAAAGGATGGAGAAAAGGAAACAGAGAAGAGCGCTAGGTAAATTTGCATGGCTTTTTAGGTGGCTTTTCCTGCATATGTACCTTCAGGATCAAGAGCAATAACTAAAATTATTTTATTTTTTAACAAACTGATGGAAACTGAGATGTCGCTGTGCAATACTTCTATCTGTGATGCCTTATATACACTTTTGGCAGCCCTCCAGATGCTGTTAGATCTATCAATGGCCAGAGATGAGAGAGTGCTGGTCCAGCAATATCTAGTTGCCCGCAGGATTCCTATCCCTGGTCTAAGGTTTGGGCTGCGATGAAAACAGTGCTGTGACCCTGCAGCCGAAGATTATGCAATATTAATACGTTTACCAAATGGCCTTTGCCATAAGCTTCTGGTAACACCAGTCCCCTGGGAGGTGCTTGCATTTAATCTCCCCCCACCAACAGATCGTTAGAGCTTTTAAAACAGCTCGTGATGAGTATCTGCTGGAAACATACAGACACAAAGACTCCTTGGGTGCTGGATAAGATTACGTTGTCCTACCTTTTCGCACACAGTCATGTGTGCATCGCATCTGCAGTGTGATCCCACCCAAGGAAGCCTGTGCAGATCAGGGCCCCAAGGAAGGAGCTTTATCAAGAGAGGGGCAAGGGAAGGACAACCCTGTTGCTTCTGCTCAATCTCTCCATGATGTTTGACCACTGCATCCTCCTGGAGCCCTCTGGGAGTTGGGAAAACTGGGCCAAAGTGCTCCTGCTTATGGGAGTGATTCCAGAGAGTAGCGTTAGGTAGCCTTTCAGCTCCTTGGCTATGGGGCGTCGCAGGACACCGTATTGTCCCCAGTGTTGCTTCGGATCTGCACTGAACTGCTGGGAATTGATTGGAGCATTGGAGGCTCAATGTCATCAGTGCATTGAGTACACGCAGCTCCGTTTCTCTGTAACAGCTGAGATATCTAGATGTACAGTACAGTATTCAAGTCCTTAGTCAGCAGAGAGACACTTTCTGATTCCTGTTTCAGAGGCCCAATGAGGATGTGCTGTCCCCATTATTGGTTTTGCCCAGTGCTTTTCTTCTAAAAAAATATTTAGGGGTATTCTTATTTTCCTATTCATATTGAAATACTGCCCCTCAATGAGGCCAAACTGAGATTCACAAAAAGTTTAGGAGTATGCGTACCCCAGCACACCCCCAGAAAAAAATCACTCGTTTTGCCTCTGGCAGGCCCTGTTACATGGAGGTATTTTAAAATTATTTTTAAAATGTTCTTGTTAAGTATTTTCATATTTTGCTCACCACTTGGAAATTTTTTGAACAAGTGGCCTGTGGGTTCCCAATAATTGTATTCATACGTGTGACTATGTCCGTGTTTCTTTCTAGGTTGTGTGAAATACTGGGCCAGAAAGTGTTTTGCTCATCACAAAAACGAACAGGCCAGACACCACAGAAATTATTTGTAGGATCAGGGAATGTTAGGACTGGGGAGAAGTCCAAACCTTTGTCTTTAGGGCACAAGATCTTTCAGAGATGGTGCCATAAACTCCATAAAGCTGGCTATTAAATTCTGCACGTCTGCCTCCTAAAACAAGAGTTTCCCCTCACCTTATGATATAGCTGGACTGAACTTGGAAGTTCATATTAGTATTCATTCATTCATTCCAGTATCTGTTGGTTCGCCTACACAGAGAAAACATAAAAAGTATAAATAAGTACTCTAATTACAGGTAAAACAATTTCAGAACGAAAAATAACAGTATTTTAAAACAATATATAAAATCCATCTTTTTATATGTTTTTCATTAAAAGCAGATTAAAATATGGATGTATTTGAAACTGATAAATATGGGGTCATATGTATTTTCCTTAGAGAGGTCCACAAATATGAAGCCCAAAAGCTCAACTGGTTTTATAGATGTTGATGGATGGCCTGTGAGCAGGGTCTCTAAGACAGATCTTAAGGTCTGAAGCAAGTTCATATAGGTTTCAGCGGTCTGAAACCTGGTCTGAAACTGTTTAGAACACCATCAACACCTCAGACAAGTAGTCAATACAACTGGCACAATACAGATGTTATATAATCCAATGCCCGGCCACCCCACCATGCATGGCTGTGTTCTGTACCAGCTGAAGTTTCCAAAACCATCTTTCAAGGCAGTCCCACTTACAGCATGTTACAACAGTCTGGTCTGGTTGTACCGGTAGTTAGGGCATGTGTAACTAAGGCAATGCACACTTTCTCTAGATAGGGTCACATCTGGCAAGCAAGTCTAAGCTGGTGAAAGGTGCTCATAACCACTGATAAATCCATGCATAGATAGCATCTGTGAGGACTTCCAAGCAGCAGACTTGGGAGCATGCAACCCCATTCTGAAATGACTGCAAAGTTCTGGCCTGATCAGCAGCTTTGCCAACACTGTCTTATCTGGAATAAAATTCTTGCAAGCCAGGAATCACCAGCAGCCAATGAAAAGCTGCAGGCGGATCCAGGAATATTACATGTGTGAGAGAAAACATCACCAAATGTACTGAAGCAGCAGAGAAGCTGCAACAAATGCTGGAGAGCAGTACAGGAAGACCCTTCTTTTGAAATAATGAAAACATCTGGTTCCTAAGTGTATGCCCATTTTGTGGAAGGGTATGTCTTCCGCGGGTGGCGCTGTGGGTAAAACCTCAGCGCCTAGGACTTGCCGATCGCATGGTCGGCGGTTCGAATCCCCGCGGCGGGGTGCGCTCCCGCTGCTCGGTCCCAGCGCCTGCCAACCTAGCAGTTTGAAAGCACCCCTGGGTGCAAGTAGATAAATAGGGACCGCTTACTGGCGGGAAGGTAAACGGCGTTTCCGTGTGAGGCTCTGGCTCGCCAGAGCAGCTTTGTCACGCTGGCCACGTGACCTGGAAGTGTCTGCGGACAGCGCTGGCTCCCGGCCTCTAGAGTGAGATGAGCACACAACCCTAGAGTCTGTCATGACTGGCCCGTACGGGCAGGGCTTTACCTTTACCTTATGTCTTCCAGGACTGTTGTTGCAGGGATAGTGAGACAGCAGCTGGAAGACAACAGAGAGGAGAAGACATCATAAAATGCATGGTAATCAGAAAGCCAAACATAGCCTTCCTTGTCACAGCAGGCTCTTATTTATACAACCTCATGCCACAATAACATCCCAGAATAATATTTTTGAAGTGACATAGGAGCAGTGGTGTAGCAGGGGTTGCCCATGCCCAGGCTGCACAGAGGGGTGGCTTGGAGAATGCAGCAGCTAGACTGGTGACTGGGAGCGGCTGCCAAAACCATATAACACTGGTCCTGAAAGATCTTCATTGGCTCCCAGTACGTTTCCAAGCACAAGTCAAAGTGTTGGTGCTGACCTTAAAAGCCCTAAATGGCCTCGGTCCTGTATACCTGAAGGAGCATCTCCACCCCCATCATCCAGCGCCGAGGGCCTTCCAGCAGTTACCTCGCTATGAGAAGTGAGGTTACAGGGAACCAGGCAGAGGGCCTTCTCGGTAGTGGCGCCTGCCCTGTGGAACGCCCTCCCATCATATGTCAAGGAAATAAGCAACTATTTTACTTTTAAAAGACAACTGAAGTTTTTTATGTCTGATGCTATAGTGTTTTTAATATTTGGTTGGAAGCCACCCAGAGTGGCTGGGGAAACCCAGCCAGATGGGCGGGGTATAAATAATAAATTTATTATTATTATTATTATTATTATTATTATTGGAGGAGAGAAACATTCAGTACGCATGTGCATTCACCTTGCTAATGGCATCTGCATCACCCAGGAGACCATAGCCGCAGAGATAAGAAACGTAGAGTCGTTCTGTTGTCTTGAGATGTCACTTCCTGGTTTGCATGAAGAAGCCGTTTTCAACGGAGCTCAGCAATGGAAGTGTATTGAGGCAGCACCGGGTGTTGAAATTTTGTGTCCCTATCAATTTTGCACCCGGGGCAACCACCTCTGTGGCCTGCCCACGCTATGCCACTGCATAGGAGCTCTGTTCCTCCTGCATAGGGAATGAGGATGTGCCTGCTGGTCTCGAGCCTGACCGCCAAGCATTCATCGGATGCATGTCTTGACCCAAACATGGATCAGCTCCCATAGTCACAATCCACAACCTCAGTTTTAATCCACCATTAATAACTGAACAGGGCCAAGACTCTTTCTGCTGTCGGTGTAAAACGGTATGCGTTAGAAAGATGACAAGCAAAATATCTGTGAATTGTTAGTCATCTGGGACAGTAATGACAAGGTTTTCCTTTTCCAGTATTCTGTGATAGCTCCAGCTCAGATTATTTGTCTGCAATAATGAGGAATGTAGAGAACAGCACCTCTTGGTGCTCTCAAGGCAAGAAGAAGAAACGAGCAGCCATCAGTGAGCGAATGATGCCACCTGCTGATTTTTTCATTTGGCGGCCGGTATAATGAGAACAAGCAATCTTGCTCCTCTACAACCAAGAATTAAATAGTACGAAATGGTCCAGTCCACTTTACAGGATTTCAGTAGGTCTGTCCTGAGCATGACTAGCATTGGATAAAACTCACTGAGTTTCATGTTGAAAGAAAGCCAGGACCAATGTAGGTAATAAGGAAATAGCCGTAAAGTCATGGGCTCATATAGGGAAGATCTCATCCACATAGGCATTGGTTGGCCTCTGTGAGAACAAGATGCACTTGTGGTTTGACCTGACCATACGCAAGTGGCAACCATGACACTTGTATCAGAATGAAACATCAGAATTGTCCCTTATATGCTTCCAGGAAACATTGTTAAGCCTTTTTTTCACTATATTTGCTAAATGTAAATTACAGTAATGAATAGATTGCATTGTGCCAAGTGTTGTCAGCTGTCTTCATTTTTAATAAACAACCAAGAAAAGGCAATAAAAATGTGTTATCAATCTGATCTTTTTAAATAATGATTTTTATTAATTTTGCAATTATAATCCAATGATAGCCTGATTATAAAAATGACAATTTTAAATACAATGACTAATACAGTGGTACCTCGGGTTACAAACGCTTTGGGTTACAAACGCTTCAGGTTACAAACTCCGCTAACCCGGAAGTAGTACCTCAGGTTGAGAACGGAAATCTGGCAGCAGCGGGAGGCCCCATTAGCGAAAGCGCGCCTCAGGTTAAAAATGGTTTCGGGTTAAGAACGGACCTCCGGAACGAATTAAGTTTGTAACCCGAGGTAACACTGAATCAATCATTCAAATACCAAATTATATAATTTAGATAAGGTGGCCCCCTCACATGCTAGAATTGATGATTTTCTTTATTTCTGCGTTCCAAAATCTGATTGATTTTAATTACATTCCAGTCATCATCATAATCCCTTATACAAAAGCTGCAATATTTATAACTTCTAATCCTGTTGACACATTAAATGATTTACAAGCCTACAAGAGAAAAACCATATATCAATCTGATTTTTAAAATGCTACCTTTAACTATTTCACACCCTCCAAGTGCCCCTATTTTCCAGGGACAGTCCCAGATTTACAGAAGCTGTCCCAGTTTCTGATTTTATCCTGCTTTTCCTTAAGATGTCCCTATTTTCCTCTGAGAAATGTTGAAGGGTATGGTAGGACGTCCCTATTTTCATCAAAGAAATGTTGAAGGCTATGGCGTTATCTGACCCTGAAGCCATCTGAAGGCAGCCCTGTATAAGGAAGTTTTTTTTAAAAAAAAGTTTAATGTTTTATTGTGTTTTTTTTATATGTTTGAAGTCGCCCAGAGTGGCTGGGGCAACCCAGTCAGATGGGTGGGATATAAATAGTAAAATTATTATTATGAAATAGGACAGGCATCCCCAAACTTGGCCCTCTAGCTGTTTTGGGACTACAACTCCCATCATCCCTAGCTAACGGGACCAGTGGTCAGGGATGATGAGGACTGTAGTCCCAAAACAGCTGGAGGGACGAGTTTGGGGGTGCCTGAAATAGGACATCCCTATTTTCATCAGAGGGACGCGGGTGGCGCTGTGGGTTAAACCACAGAGCCTAGGACTTGCCGATCAGAAGGTCGACAGTTTGAATCCCCGCGGCGGGGTGAGCTCCCGTTGCTCAGTCCCAGCTCCTGCCAACCTAGCAGTTCGAAAGCACGTCAAAGTGCAAGTAGATAAACAGGTACCGCTCCGGCGGGAAGGTAAACGGCGTTTCCGTGTGCTGCTCTGGTTCGCCAGAAGTGGCTTAGTCATGCTGGCCACATGACCCGGAAGCTGTACGCCGGCTCCCTCAGTCAATAAAGCAAGATGAGCGCCGCAACCCCAGAGTCGGTCACAACTGGACCTAATGGTCAGGGGTCCCTTTACCTTTATTTTCATCAGAGAAATGTTGGGGGGTATGCTGTGTGCCTATTTAAACATCTGTATCCGCATAAAATGGACACACTTGGGAATGTTCCAAGGCACTAGATAAATAACCACATATGTTTTGTAAAGGGAAACAGACCATCAAACTAATACAGGGGGGTTTTTTGTTCGGGGAATTTCTTTGCTTTTTTAATTAGCAGCAAAGTGTAAAGGGGAATGACTATCAACAGCAAGAGGGCACCCTTATCTATGGGACTGAGCAACCTTGAAAGGGTCACTTCCCTCTCCCTTCCGGCTTGAAAAAGGCCTCTCTCTTAATTCATCTCTTTCTGCTGCAAGGGCTCCCATTAAGGAGCTTTTTACTGGCCATTTTGTTATTGCTTCAACTTGGGCTTTATGCAAAGGCAGCCTGCTGGGCACTGTAAGCGTGACAGAAAAGAGGCGCACTGCTGTGCAGGAAGCTCTCCCTGTAAATAATGTTCCAATTAATAAGATAATTATACAGCCAGGGAAGACTTTATTGATGGTCTCCGCAAGTGAAGTGCTATTCTTAACCCGCTTGTGAAGGTTGCATTAACCTTCTCTCCTTGTCTTCAGAAGAGAGGGTTGAGAAATACATTACAGGCTGAAAGGAGGCTTCATGTGGAGCGAGGAAACAAACGTTCGCTGCAAATGTGAGGGGCAAGGAATGTCTTTCATTGGACCCACTTGCTGCCAGGAACTGGGGGGGGGCAGCTTTTAAATGCACATACTTTACTGGACTAGATTGCTATGACTGGCGCAAGCAAGCTATCTTTCAATACAAACAAAAAGGGAGGCAGTGCACTTTTAGGCTAAACCAGTGTTTCCCAACCGGTGTTCCGCGGCACACTACTGTGCCGTGAGACATTGGCTGGTGTGCCGTGGGAAGGAGGCGGGCGAGTCGGGCGGTGAGAGGCGGCGGCGGCGAGGATCCGCGTCGAGCCGGGGGCGGCTCCGCGGTGGTGGTGCCGAGCGGCGGGGCAGCGCGTGCAAAAGGGAGGAGCGCGAGACAGCGGAGGAGGAGGAGGCCGGCATGTCCGGGCAGCAGCAGCAACAACAGCAGCAGCAACTCCCGGCGACGGCTCCTCAAGCCCCGCCGCCGCCCCCTCCTCCGCCCGCTATCGCCGCCACCACCACCACAGCCGCCGCCGCCTCAGTTGCCGCTGTCCCTCAGTCCCTCGCTCTGCTGCCTCCTCCCACCCCCAAAGCTTGGAGGTTCCCCGGCAAGGGGGAGGGAAAAACTTTCACTTTCGTGCGTCCCTCCCGGCGTGACGCTGCGCACTGACGTCACGGGGCGGGGCTTTAATGGTGGTGTGCCGCGAGATTTTTTTTCAGTAAACAGGTGTGCCGTTGCCCAAAAAAGTTTGGGAAACACTGGGCTAAACAGCAAGCGGCTTCCTTTGCATCATAGAATATTGAGTTCTGTCATTTTAAGATCAGCCACACAGGGCTGGTAAATGGTATACTCCCTCAAGCCAAAGGGAACTGAAAGTGGTAGACAGGACCGGTTTGCCTAGGCCTGTGGTTCCCAATGTGGGGCACACGCCCCACAGGGGGGCAATTTGATTTTTAAGGGGGGAAATTTGAGAAAATTGTATTTTGAATTTGTTAAGTACCTTTATTTTATTGTATAGTAATTAAAATAGCAAAGTATTACCAAAAAAGCTTTCATTAAAATTACGGTATTTTTCCATGTATAAGACTAGGTTTCCCCCCGAAAAAATAATGTCAAAAATTAGGGGGTGTCTTATACACGGATAGTGCCACGGGTGGGCTGGCGATTGGTTGTTGC